GTAGATATGACGCAATTGATGATATGAGTCATCATTTGTTATCAAACGCGCAAACGCGCAAACACGCGTCTGTTAACGTATATATACCCCCCCTCTCTCTCCCCTTCTCCCCCATCAAAGCGCAAACACAAAGTTTAATAATATACAACAACACTTATCCATCGGCACACCCTATATACGCACATACGGCACGAACAAGTTCTCGGAACAACGAACTCTTAACACACAACAATGACAACACGGTTTATCGACCCATCGTTGATGAAGATTTCAACTCATTTGGAACTCGAACCGTTGTACGTTATCGCCGTCCGACAACCTCTCTTCCACACCTCCCGTATACGCCGGACCGTAATAACCGCATTACGAAGAAAACAAGGCATGTGGATGGTTTGACATGTTTCGTTTGAGTGGGGCCGGGGTGTTTATTCAATTGAAACATAGTTTTTGGATTGCCACGCATGCCCGTTAAACCAGATTCGCTAAACTCACTCCCATTAAAAGACGTTTGGCATGTTTCTTTGGGTTATAAATCCCTTTGACATCGTACAAACTCCCTCTCGTTTTTATGGATAGTTTGGCATGTTCCGGTTGGGCGTTGTGTGGTGTATTTATTAAGTATAGCTCTTTGGGTAGCCTCGATGCTCTTCAAACATGATTCGTTCACTCACGCCCTTGCTAGGAATTCGTTCTGACCCCCCCACCCTCTCTCTTTTTTTTTTAAAGATCTAGGCAATCGAATAATTAAGAAGCGGAGAAGGTTATCCTTAAAAACGAGCGCAAAAATTTAGACATGTGATTTCAAGAACTTGATATGGTTTTGCGGAAGACTTCGGATTTTTTCTCAATTCATTGCTAACAAGCTTTGAACAAAAATATAAAATTTAATTTAATCAGCCTTTTATCGAAATAATTATGAACGTTACAATAAAATAATATTTAGACTCTTCCTGGTTATAAAACTAAAGCTAATTGTTATATAACGCGCCAAACATTTAAAATAAAAACAAGGAAAGAAACATTTGCAAATGAATTTATTTTAATTCCACTTATTATTAATTAAATTTTTAAATAAAATTGGTCTAGTTATTTTAATTTGGCTTTAAACAAGTATTTAATTATCTGAAATAATGCGGCTTATCAAAGTTATTATTATGGCCTGGCTAAAATATTTGTGACCAGAGACACTATTAATAGCGCACATGAATAGATTTAACGAAAATATTTAATAACTAAAGCTGTTCATTCACATATTGACGTTTTCAACAAAAAGTATCTTTTCGTCGACATCGTGAATAGCCAAACTAACTATTATACAGTCAAACCTAATTATACGAAGATCTGTTTATAATGAAGATTTTCTCTTAAGCCAATCATTTCGAGTCCTTAAATCAAGAGAGAAGGGGGCTAAGGCTCAATACTGAATAAGCAAAACTCGTTCAATAACCCGGAAAGGAAAAAAAGAATATCTCAATTCGTTCAACTAGTTACTGAACTTAGTAACACGGGAATTATCAACGGTAGAATGCACGCATTTACAAGTGGCTATCAAATGGCTCAGTTTCTCGTTGGAACCAAGAGATTGTTTACCTGCGAAAACCTTAACATTGACAGAGAAACCCGCTTACGTATGGAATCATGGCAGATGAAAGCACCAGAGGGGAGAAAAAAATATTTCTAGTTTGCTTTGCTTATTGGAATAATAAAAAAGAGGAACCTATGTTGATACTGGCAACAATGACAGATATAAATCAGTGCATGTTGCAGCCATTCTCAAAGACTATAAATTTGATCCGATAAAATGCAATTATTGGCTTACTGATAATGCAGCTTATATGTCGGGATTAAAGAGGCGGGTGCCGTTGCAGCATTAATTTTCGATCTGAAGCCCAGGCATATGTGGAATGCATTCTGCGCACACGGCGTAACTAAATTTGAAGTTGAAACCTAAACACAACTTCGGATTTTTTAACAGAGCATCCGTCAAACCTTTTAACCTAGCGTATTATCTTCATGATGGATACAAAGACAGCGACAGGGGTATTCCTATGAATATAAAATCTGATACGATTCGAAATTTATACTGGACATTGCTGCAATATCGTCTCAGTACCAATGGCCTATCTCTACTCGCTGGCTATATCAACTCAGGACTGGCAAACTGGTTTATTCCTCAATAAGAGAACTCTAAAAATGTCCCTCTCATCATACATAAAAAAATAAAAAGTTTTTCAGGATTGTCGTCGGTAAGGGCAAGGCGCGCAATTTCTGTATACAATTCCATGCTGAGACAAGTATTGATTTGAAGTTGTTTATCGATCTAATATTACTGTTTCCGATCTGGAATCAGTTGTTTCATCTTGCAATATATCTTATTAACAATCAATTGTAAAGACGAGGGGCGGCATATAGTTTAACATTCCTCAGATAGATCGAAGGTCACTCTCGTGTAAAGACGGGAAAAGGGCAAATGGCCTCTAAGAACATTTATCGTTCGATCATTATTAAAAGTACATTCCGCATGTCTTTTCTGAATTCTATTTTGTCCTCTCCGACACTCAATCCTTCAATCTTATTATTCTAACTCTATCTTTCACCACTCCCGTTCCCTCTCCCACTTGTAATATTTCTACTCTCTATCCGGTCTCTCAATCTCTCGAACGTATTTCTTGTAACAGCCTTAATCCGGTCGGTCACACTTTCGAATGAATCCAATGCTGGGCGTACATCCAGATAGAACACGGGTGTATCACCTTCATCAGGACCAGCGTAATAGTCTATAACGTAACGAACCTGTTTCCCACAGCGATCGATTGTCCAATCATGTCTGTCGAATGGTAATGGTGTGCTAATAAACGTAGTAAACGTAATATGAGAGGTGTGGGGGAGAATAATGTTGAGGAGAGATGTAAGATGGATTATTAGACCATTAAATCAAACCTTTCAGTTATAGAACTCTCATAACGACAATGGTTAAGCGAACCACGTTCCCCAACATCCCAACATACCTAAACGAAGGAAAGACCTTTCCAGCCCACTGTAACATCCTTGCTTTCGGGCTTAAGTCTTGCGGTCTACCTTTAAAACGCAGTAGTTTAGGTCCTCCGGCACACTCACTGCCAAGAGACATGAGGAGAGACTTTTAGTAAGCGTGAGCGAATGAATGATTGTTGCCGGCAGATGCGGTGACATTGAAATTTAAAGTTCTTAAATTAGAACAATAAAAGATTCAAATGATCGCTGGCGTAAGAAATATTTCTTGTGAAAGGCGTAAATTAAATTTTAATATAAAATTACATTTGTTCTATGTTAATTCGTCTTTCACTTCCTATTTATTGTACATTATACTTATTCTCACCTCCTTGATATTTCCTCTCCTTGCATCCCCTCTTTGCAACGAAAACTCACCACTTCTTCACCTTTTCCCATTTTAAAATTTCATTCCATGCTTCTTCATTCAAAAAGTTATGTATATCTACCATGGTCTCAATACTTTCTTCGGGCGTCTCCCACCCTTTTCTAACAAGAGCATTATAAAACTGTTGTGGAGACGGATATTCCCAGTAACTCGAAGAGCTTGCTTTGGGAATAGATGATGTTGTTCGATTTGTGGGGAGGCTAATTCGCTGATTTGGGGCTGGTAGTTGGGACAGATTAGGCATTTGATTCTCTGGTGACAGAGCATCACCCGAGTGAGTTTGAGGTTTGGAAGACGATGTATATGGGCAGGTAGCAGCGGAGGAAGAGGAATGCATTGGACACTCTGGTGGTGGTGATGACATCTTGTGGGGACTGAGTGTTGGGACTGAGTTTAGTCTTGTTTGAGCTTTTTTATGTTTCTGATCTGAATTTTTTTTTTAGAAAAAAATTTTCGCACTTGGCGTAGTTATTTGCTTTATTTAACTGGTTAATGGAATTTTCACTCAACATACTATGTTGTGTAACGAATTACCCTATTGCACGTGTCTGACTGTGTAGCATTCTCAAACTTAAATAATTATTTGCAGGCTGATCGTCTTAAAATAAACAAGCTGAACTAACTTCTTCCCCAAGTACTCGAAATGTTTTCCAGCAACGGGTTGCAAGCATGGTTTTGTTTAAATAAATGCCTTACGACTTGTTCAAATAAACTTTCTATATTAATATACTAATACTACTACAGATCTCATAATAATAATTGTCAGAGCCATGTACGTAAATTGGTGCGCGTTACAATATTAATATTACCGAATTCTGCGCATCACCTATATTCTGTGGCGAATAGCCAAGATTTAGCTTGAAGCTATTGTCTGTGTACCATAAAGCAGGTAAGGGTAATAGTAAGGTTAACTCACCTCCTATCCCATTATTAAAGTCTGCATTTTTATTTTGGTTGCTTATTATTATTGTTCTTTCGGGAAATAGAAGAATAAATAATATGTTCAATTGCATTGATAACAATTAATTCCACCTTTCAATGTTAAAGTTAATTGGTTGACTGCAAGTAGGGGTTTATTAGCCACATTGGGAAAGTCATGGAATAATAATTCGCAAGATCGTAGAACAAAGACACTTTCGTTCGGAAGTGAGTTATTTGCTTTTTTAATTTCATCCGTGATTAATTAGGATTCCCAATAACACAAGTTTTCATACAATTGTTTCGTCTGAATTTCAAGAGGTACATATAGTGACAGTGTTTCAAAAAGCGGTATCACTCTATTATTATGGTTAAGAATTAGTAATACTGATACCAATACAATATACAACATATTTCGAGTACAATATCTTACTTGTGTTTGAGAAACTCCGCCTATATGTTAGATAAACATATAATTAGATCAGTTGCAAATGTCACAAGAGACGAATATTAACACAGTTCACTCACATTGATTTTCTTATTATTATCATTGTTATGGTCCTAAAAACAGTTGCAACAAATAATAAGAACAATTATGTTTTATATTTACAACTGATGCAGACATAAATCTGGATACCATCAATGGCAACTGGCCAGTTTCAAACAGTCTCTGTTTTTCCGCCTTATAAATAACAGACCATAAATATTGTATTGGTAATTAAATTCAAACTGAGCAAAAAAGGCATGTTATATGTTACCTGAATTTGCATTTCATTGATCACAAGACCACTCCATTTTTTATGAATTTCAAGAGGTTTTGCTGGATGACCTATGTCACACGCCTGGGAAATTTTAACTATATAAAGTCTTTGCTAAGAACGTGATTATGATCTCTAACAAATTTGATACCTTTATGATGATCTTCATCAAGCTCAGCTTGTAAACATCACTCTTTCCTATATCACTGTTAGTTGATAGCTAAAACGTTATAAGCATGTAGTTATAATGGTGCTTAAATTACGGCTCAACATTCAATTACTTACAATCTTCTGAAATTCACTCAAATGTAAATCATGATCTGCCATATCAGTACTAACAATAAATGATGTTGATGTGCGAATCTGTAGTCTCAGTATTAGTATTTACAATTTAATAAAAATCATGGTAACCTTACCTCAATATCAAATCAGTTACACGGTTAGTAAATAGTAACAGGTCATTATCATTTAAACATTGTAAAAAGTTATGTTTCTCTTGAAATAAGAGATCAAAAGCAAAAACTACATGATAATGCTGGGAAACAATTTGTTAGACTCATTAATCCCAAATCAAGTGCTAAAACTCCACTCCGGTCGCGTATACCTCTAGAAAATTCCTTCTATTATTATGACTTGTGAAATATCTATTCAGTTTTAACTTTTGCACTGCTTCAGTATTATGTTCTATTCTCAAAAGAAAGTCTGCACTGAGTCCAGGGTGATCAATGTCATGAACTAGAGCGGCTAAATGGAATGTAACCGTTAATAAGGGCGAAACTTTCAGAATAAGTCTGTCTACTGACCCACCGAAAAGCAAAGTTAATACATCCAGATCAGACAGAATCTCTTTTATCCTTTGTTGTTGTGTGAAAAAATAAGCAGCTGCGCAAAAGAGTTTGTTACTAAAATTTTTAGTCTTTAGTGGCAGATTTCATTAATATTAACATCATACATTGTAAAACATCGCCCGCATGAAATGCGTTGTGATCTATCCGGGAAAATGGTGAAATGATGGTGAAAGGCCGTCCAAAGAGTTTACGCGTGTTAGAATAACCAAAATACTTGTGCTTACATGGATTCTCTGCGTTATAGGCTTGGAAAACGAAATGATAATTAGTTTCATATTTACTGCTGTTTGGTTTTTGTTTAAGATAAAGTGCAAGAGCTCACATTTTTCAACACTTTTTACAAATTCGTTGAATTTGTCCTTATCAGCCCCGAGCCTCGTTAGTACGTCCGCAAAGAATTGAACCGCAAAAGTAGTTAACGACACATCGAATGTGTCATTTGACCAGCTCTAAAATTATGATAACCGCTTAGGAGATTACAATCAATTTAATCTCTCATATGACAATTCTTACATTAGTTTCTCTCAGAGCCATTTCAACAAACTATCAATTTTGGGCTGTTAATTTCGAAATATTTACAACCATGGTTGCATCATGCCACCAAAATTTAATGATTGCGCCTGCCATGTATGACAATATTCTCCTATAAATACAATACAGCGGACTTTCTAACAATTTGAAACACTTCATAGTCCTCGACATCAAAGCTATCACTATCAATTATACTATATTCATACGAAGATCTCCTACTAGACCATTTTCTGTTGTTTTCGGAGGCTGCATCAATTGCACGATTCATCCACAAATCGCCATTTCCAAAACAAGGACCATACGATTCAGTCCATCTGATCGCATAATTAACAGAATTCAACATGACTCGACTCAATTTAGAATGATTATTGTCTCCAAACGAAAAAATAAAACTATCGTGTGCTCTGACGTATTGACTATCGTATGCTTGCTGCCATTTCGTTGGATTGTATCCGCCAACAAGCTCGCCTGTTCTGCTGACCTTGGCTATCACTACCGTCGGACCTTTACTATCGCAGAGGCTATGGAATGTCCGTGCATCAAAGCCGTCTCGACTGCCACTGTAGTCAATGAAAGAGAATAAAAATAAGCGAAAGGGCAGTCTTGGATTAACATAAATTCATGTAACGTCTAATATTAATACCCCACCGTAAAAGCAACCGGAATTCATGTGACATGTCTTTATAATTGCTTAGAGTTATCGCATCGTATTTCCGGTCTACAAAAAGATCAACTTGTATTGAGTAATTTACGATACGCGAATAATCGACTAAATCTTTTTTTTCCTTACCAATCCAACTGGAAATAAGAGCAGCATGCTTGGTATTTATAGTTGTGGAATCCATTGGAATGAGACGGGGAGGCAGAATCTCGGATTTAATGTCACTCACATCGGGTGACTTCATATGATATCTTCAAAGCGTTATTAGACGCTTCAACAACAATTACATGGTTGAATCAAAATCGCATTGAAAAACAAATCACATACTTGACAATATCTTCGTTCAATTCTTTTGGCAAGATTTTTTTAAAATTTTGCCTAACTTTCTCGTAAAATTCATTCGAAGGCATTTGAAAGAACCTAATCAAAGGGATCAAATCATGTAACGTACGCTCCAAAGCTGCAAATTCTTCCTTACTCCATTTATTACAATCACTGGATGATGGTGACGGCATATTTGCAATTCCCCACTGTAACAAAGATTCCCAAATTTCAGTCTCCTCCATCTCCAAGTCGTCTCTCTTCAATAGATATGACAGTACATTCTCCTCCACCGAGCAAAAGTTTTCAGACTTGAACAACACTTGCGGATTGCCGCATATATAACTCAGAATGTAATCACGTAGTTGTGAGCACGGTTCATGACGGCAGACGACATGAACTACGGAAAAGAGGTTTTCTCGCAGCCACGAGCATTGAGTTTCTATAAGGTAATCTTGGACGTGATTTATTAACTTTGTAAGAGCCAGTTCATCAGCGGCTACCATTAACTCGAGTAAGTCAGGGTTATTCTGAGCATTAAAGTCAATAGATCCGCTATAAATGAATCTAATGTGTATAAAATTGCGGAAACCATTGTTATTAAAATTGTGTACCTTCCGCCGTATTCGACGTGATACCTCAGTTTATACCCTCGCTCCCACATTGTTCTCGCACTCACTTGTGTATAACTTCAAATACGGTAGGCGAAATATTGGGTTGTTTGAGAATAAACTTTTCTCCATCTTTTCGAGCCCAACTACTCGATAAGGCGGTTCGAAAGTATGGAGAACGTCCACGCAGGATTACAGAATGTGATTGAAATGACTTCACATTGGGCTCCTCTCCTACTCGAATTTCAACATTATAATCGTCTGCATTTTCAAGTAAGCTACCAAAGTCAGCGGCAAGATCAGAATGGAATTCAGAAGCCATTATATACAATCAAAAAGTGTCAAAGGCTTTCCCAAGAATGTCACATGCACAAATATTTAAGCTAACTTAATTTTGTTAATGATCTCTAGTCAATCAACCATTTATACTTTTTGACTAAATTAACTCTGTCGAATGAATTCTTTCAATCATCCGTCAAACCTCAATGTGGAGCCATCTCAAGGACCATCAGAATCGCAAAAATTGTTTCGTAGACGTTCTGGTGATAAAATTGAGCTACGTTCACTACAAGATGTAAAGACATTTGGATTAGCTGGAAAGGTCTGGGACAGGTTGAATATTGCACATTCGTTGAAAGGACTTGTTAATTTGTAACAAAATCAAATACTTCAACTTTTGTTACTTCAACCCTAACAGCACATATGCACTAGATCTCTACCTCTGTCTACCACCCGATCATTTTGCCTTTGACCCACCATGTCCTATACCCTCCTATCTCTTTCACCATGATGCGAGAACACAATATCATTCATCTCATTACACAATTTTGGAACTAGGATCGGGAACAGGCTATCTTGGTATTACTCTTGCCTCAAGATTGGTTCCTCCCTTCACGCTAATTCTTACAGATCTACCGGACGTCCTCCCTCTTCTCAATCGCAATGTATCAAACAATTCTCGGGCAAATACAGATCATATTATAGTCGCACCTCTTGAATGGGGCAATTCGGCACATTCCGAGTGCATAAATTCAAAGCACAGAATAGATCTTGTTATAGCTTCAGATCTTGTATATTTTCCAGAATTATTCGATCCACTCATAAAAACTTTATTAGAGATATGCGGCGAAGAAACAATCGTTGTTTTCGGGTATAAAGTTCGGGCTCAATGGAAAGAAGAGGCTTTTTGGGAGCAAGTGGGAAGATTTTTTTATTTGAAGGCTGTCAGAGTTAATACAAAGGCACGGACAGGTATATGTAATACCGTACGCGAAGGAACTACAAAGGTTGATGAGAGAGAGAATGTTGTGGAAGAAAATGAGGCGAACTTTAGGATATTTGGCGAAGAAGATGGCATATTTATATTTATAGGAAGAAAAAGGGCAAAGGAGAAATACAAAAGAGGTGTTGATGATACATTTGCTACAATACAATTGTTGCAAATAGATTTATTATAGTAAATGTCTAAGTTTTACGTAAGTGTCGGATAAACCGTCAATTACTTATTGAAGTGACTTTGGGAAATATTTGACTAGAGAACAGCACCGTTTATAACAAATAAACCCAATAGCATTTATACATAGTCCATCGGAAAAAGATGATCGATGCACAACATAATTCGGTATAATCAATCATCAACAAAGATTTTACATAACTCCAGAAAACATCGTTGCTTGGTCTTCTCGATATGTAATTTTCTGTAGTTCGGATCATAATCTTTACCCGTGAATGTCCATGGTTCATTCATGTGCTTGATCTATTGGAACAAAAGACACAAGTCAGATAAGTCTTGAGGAGCTCAAGAACATTTGTTACGTACAAGTACTTACGACTTGGTCAGCAACCTCGGGATGTCCCCTGGCTTTTGCCATACCTAACAAATGGTGATCGGAATTAAGCGTAATAACTTCTTGTGGGGGGAAACGGAGCATATGTATTTCAAAATGGAAGATGCGAGTCAAAGGATACACACTATGGCCTCTAACATTGGTGTGCTCCACACCAAGTTTAAGAAAGTGGATTGAGCGAATGCCTCATTTTCGGCTGCTTGCTTAATGTAACGAAGAGCATCCACGTACTCTGACTCTAGATTTGTATCAGCCGGGATAAACTGCAACAGAACTGCTGCTGCCATGTATTCTGATTGACAACTGTATGGATCAGCATTGTATACGCAAGAACTGTCTTCATATTATCATCATTACGCACCATACCTTTTAATTTTATGCAATACTTGACCGCTTGCTTTACTGATGATTGATAAGACACAAGTATGTCTTCGGTCTTTCCGTTTCCAGATGTTTTCGAAAACTGAGTGAAATTGGAAGTAGCCTGAGCCATCTCTTCTAAAAAGGACCTATAATAGCGATTATACGGACAGTAAGCATTGCATGACAGAATTAACCATACGATAAAGAATTAGGAACAGACCTTATTGCTTTTCTAGTCTTGTCTCTTGTATTGGATACATCGGGCTTTTGAATCGGTTTGGGTTCCCAAGAGTCATCTTCGTCCATAACGTCCTCGCGTCCATTGAAATGAACGTTGCTTAGGCGGGTAATGTAATCTTGCGGAGGGCTTAGAAAGTCGAGACCTGTCGTTGCATAGTGAGATGGTCTAGAAGGTTTATATGAATTTTTGATACATATTGAAAATTACCTGCTCACCTGTAGCAGCAGCTGTCTTCCATGCCTTTGGTGAGTTAGCTTTCACGCAAAATTTCCTAACAAACTCTTCCAGATTTGTCAGCCTCTGCTCGGCAATAGCAGTATCCGAACCGGGGTCTTCTTGCATTTTGTCGCATTCTTCCATCTCGGAAATGCAATACTGAAACACTTCAACAAGCACTTTCTCAACAGCTGAATCCTGTGGCGAGGTTCGAATGTATCCTAAACAGCGAACCGGTATTTCCATAACCATATTATCTAGGGGAGCAGATCAGATTATGAAATTTCGTTAAAAAGGACAACAAACTTTATTGGTGAAGAATATATGTATCACCTGCAGAAATATCAGCTACGTTCAGAGCATTACACACAGCGAGTTTGACTGCCGTCCCGAGCTGCCCACAATTGACTGCTTCGTCTACTAAAGATCTACGAAAACTACGGGATAACAGCGATTTTGTCCCTTTATTTAGTAGTAATGGAATGATTTCCTCGTAATTTTTTTCGGCACGAAGCCTATCAACGCGCTTGATTGGAGATGTTTCATGAAATTGAGGACCCGACATGGCCGTCGCCGCTTGTGCAAAACCAATTAATCTCTCTTTGTTTATTTCACTACAAGAAATCAGTGTTTGATAAATATGCAGCACATCGCAACGAAAATCGACAACGTTTAGTACCAGAGATTATTATAGTCTTCACTGTCATCTAGGCTCTCCATGGCTGCGACAGAATTTTCCAAGTAAAACGCAGCCTTATTAAAATCTCCTTTGGCAAAATAGAACCGTCCCAATTCAAAAGCCAACTGGACTGATAAAATCCGGTTTTCTTGCGAAATGCTCTCGCTCTGATTTTGAGACATGATATATTTTACATTAGGTTACGTTATGTAAAATAGTTGACAACATTCCAATTACATACTTCTCGAGTAAGTTTACCATAAAGTTCCTCAAGGCGAGTGTGGACGGAAGACGAGTCGATAAACTTGTTAAATGTTGGTGCATCTTTGTAAACAGATCGAATCGACCATCTGTATGTTCTGATTATAGGATCTTGGCTAGGATCGGAAGACCTAGGAGACAAGAATTGTAAGAAACGAATCACGACGCAATTGTGAGCAAAAGCAAGACTTACGGCGCATATTCAATTAAATATCTCAATAAGATTCCTTGAAGATAAACGGGTACATTTCTCTCTATTTGATGCAAACCCAATTTTGTCTTTTGTATTAACTAAAGAAAGCACACGGTCAAGGCCTTGAGATAAGAAACTACTACGATCAATCTCACGATATCAACTAGTTATAACTGAAGCAAACCTTACACGACTTTTTCAAAAGCAAATCTTGCTTTCCTGTTAACACAACGTTCTGCATTTCTGCCGCGGGTTTTATACCAGTAAACGTCTTGAAAACTGGCTCTTCCATGAAGGCGCGAAGAATCCTCGCGCCACTCTCGCTATACTCTGATTCCTTGAGGTTATTGAGCTACGTGATGCAAGATTTATGATTAGTCAATAATAAGAGACGTTAAGAGACTTTACAGAATTCTGATGAGAAATTACATAGATGTCAAATTCATTGGGCTTTAGTGTCCAGTTAAAGATCAGTTCCCTAAGATCTTCCATAATAATAATGAGATTATTCGATGCGGGTAATGTGGGGGTATTTATAACTTTTTTGGTTGTCTTGCGTTTCATTTCCGAAATCGGCATCCAATTGTATCCCATTTCCTTATATGGAATACGATTAAATTATTTAAAATAGACTTGTTATGCACATAATTGGTTTTTATCACTTTCGCAACTGGGCCCAATTGTTTGAGAGAATAATCTCATAATTCACAACAGGAAAGAATTGAACCCAGTAGACACAGTTTTTTCTAAACAATTGGTGTATGTTATTATTACTATCAATTATTATTATAGATTGAATGGTTAATATTTATAACTGGAATTGAACAGCTCAAGGCGACGGTTGTAGTCATCGAAGTTATTATTACTTTCTTTTCTTCCTTTCGTATGAATGAGGCTGCCTATACTACATTTCATCAACTCGCAAAACAGATGGAAATAGGAATGATATTATTATAATTGTGACCCGAATCCTTAGCATTAGCAAATACAGTAAGTAAAATAAAACTTATTTCACAAAAAAAAAGAGGCGTTTGGACAGTCAAACTGGTTATATTAGCACACTTTCTAAAAACTCGTAATCGTTTGATCTAATACTACTACTAATACTAATGCCAGTTACGACTATCACGTGATATAGATCTACAAACGTAAATTATTTTGCCAGATCATTTTGCATATTCATTCATGAGCGTAAGATGCCAAAACGAATCCCAACAATTTCACACATTGCATCGCTAGTATTGGATCTTCGTACTGGATTAGGTGCTGCCAAGTTGAGTCCCTCGGTGAAAAAGATTACCTTGTTTACTACATCACGGAGAGGGGGCGTTACTGCCAAGTAAGATGCCGGAGTAATTGAATGTTTTTGCCAAAGTAATGATCATTCTGATACGAGCTTTGTGAAGAAAGTTTTGGCGACAACACCTTCCCCGGATAGCATACAACAATCCGCATGTGGAATTTGAAGTCAAGGTCAAAGACGAACTGAATGTACGGCCACGGTTATATGTGAGTTTCGGTGCGTAGGTCATAGTAAATAATTTGTCGAAAATTGTCATAGAAATAGCTATTCATTGGGTAATTTACTAATATCTTGTTAGAAGATGCGAATAAGAAACCGCTGAAGATTGATTGCTCACATTTGAAGACACCAGATGGTGTTTGCAGACGACTTTTGCATGAAGCGGACGGGGTACCAGCTCTTTTGATTGGAGAAGATGCGCTCGCTGATGTCGTTGGGTCACGGCAAAATAAACCCAGATGGGAATATTACTCAACTTAGTGCTATTAGGGAGATATCTTTTTTGGATATTTCTAAATTATTTTTGACTTTATAATTCGGGGAAATTTTATCCATTACTCGTAAATTTTCTCCGTCCTAACACTACTGTATGTAAGAATGGAATGTATTGAAGCAAGATACACAAATAACTAAATATTCGGTTCTGTTCATCTGTACGCAAATAATTGGCATCTAATACAATGAAGTAAGTAGAAACATGTCTATAATTTAAACCGAGAGAATGATCAGGACTTCTCTTTTCTATGGTGACACATAAAGTAGATCACACGCCTGCATTGTCAGTCAACTTGATTTATTACAGTATAGCACCATAGTGTTTTATGAACTGTACTTTTAAAAACAATCATGTTGAAAGTTTGCAGTCCGTAATATGTCGTTCCATCTCTATCACACAGTAATGTATCTTAACGAGAAGTGGATTCTTATAGACAAAATCGTCTTAATCAATGACTCGAGTTACTTCAAACATTTGATGAAGCATTAGATGACAGTACCAGGACAAGCGATGCTATGACGATAAATGCTTACTCGGACTAATATGTAGTTAAATATAAAATCAACTTGTAAACTATATCGAGCGTCATCATAACGAGAACTATTGCACGGCACGATAAATAGAATTACAAACAAAAGCGCATTTGTCTGAGTTTGTATTTATATCGTAATTTAGTGCGAGATTTGTCTGCAAATAAAACTAAATATATGCATTATCTTATTCTCCCAAATTGTATACGCATTCATTTGTTTCAAACTCCTGTAAGAGTAGCATGTGAATGTGTGGCGCTCTTGCAAAACACAATATTCCCAAAAATCTGCCGGATTTGGTTGGTCGTTTTCTGGACTGGCTGTGGCAGGTCCGCCATTGTGTGATCAATTTTGGCGGTGCACTATTGGGCTTGGGGTGATGAGCCCCAGAACAAAAATTCACATTCTCTAATTTATTTCAATAGTTCTCATAAAACAAATTTACTATACAATGGGAAATTGCTGTAGTAGTTGCTTTCCTTCAGAAAGGAAGAAAGGGTACACCTTGAGCAGTTCGTCAGACACTGCCTCGGGGAGCAACAGACAACAACCTTCAAGAGACGAAATTGCTAAAGCTGCTGAACAGAGATTCAAACAGGTATCTATTGGCTTACATGGCGGTAGCTGCTAGAATTATATGGAGTTCAATATCTTGTCATTTATTTACCGTTTTGTCCATGAATCTTTATTACATTCTGCTATCCGCTCAGGCTGAAAACCGTGGCGTAAGACCAGGTGGTGGTAAACTGAGCAAGCAACTCGAACAAGAGAGAAAGACGGGCGGTAAATCTGATGATACGCCTCCTGCCGCTAACTTGGAGGTTTGTACTGATAAGCGATGTCTTGGATATGTTGCGTGAGAATATCACTAAGATTTAAATATTTTTGTTGGTTTTTTACAGTGGCGGGTGGATTAACCAGGATTTACAGACTCAAATGCATTTATTACACATTTTGTCAGTTACATGTATATATCTATGTATTGAAGTTAACAGCAGACATCCCATCATCAGTCGTGACATTCTTGACATATAATAATTCAAGTGCGGTCTTGTAGCTTCATATTCTTTACTTTGAAGCTAATTATTATGTATAACACATGATCCTTTGGATACAAACATTAAAGAGCACCATGTGCTTTTATATTCTCTAGATATTTTAATAGTAAAAGGTACACCAGGTTTAATACTGGTGATATGTTATCTATTCACAACATCAGCGTAACAATCGGTTCACTGTACAGTTTGCATCTATCTACAGAGTAGAATTATTAATATATTGCCAGTGTTATTAAAACTAATCTACATATACCACAATTCAAAGTTATACATTAAAAACAAAATTAAATGGTAATCGTGTTGCTCTAATCACAAAGTTGTTGGATATCAAACAAGTGGATTTCATAACCCACATAGTCGACAAATGCACCAAGACAATATGTTCGCTTCTATTTTCACTCTAGGATAGAATTTAAATAGACCTTTTGGTAAAGTTCATAAACATACACTATGTCAATGTTTATGAATGATCTAGTAAATATTGAACAGCTCGATTCATATCGTTATCAGAATCACGAAGAGCACGTATAATAACGCTTTCGTCACTATCTGGGAAGATGGTTTGCAAGTTGGCTACGGCATCTCTGTTGACAGTTAAAGGTTGCTGCTGTATAAAAGATTAAACGATTGTAAAAAACGGCTTAGTGACAATGTTAAATAAGCAGTGACCTAATTAGAATAAACAACATACTGTAGTTGGAATCTCATGACTGTCGCTTCCTCTCGTTCTGTCAGATGATCCAGACGTGTTCTCATCCAGCATCGCACTAGACGAATTGGAAGGTCTTTGTGGTTGAGATGATCCTATAATCGGAAGTAGGAAGCTGGAAGCAAATCTGTTGAGAAATTCAGGAGACCGCCATCTGGACAACTTGAATATACCACTCCTGTATATAGCACCTGCCGCCAAACCACATATCCCAGATATTGTTGAATGAGGATATTTGCTAAACAATAACTACAAACATAAGCATAGGAGAGCATGAGTAATATCATAATCACAAGGAAGATCCACCAAAAACTTTCGACAAGACTTTACCAGCAATCCCGCCATGTTCGGTATGAATTTGTTATTTAATGGTAATCCATACGACTGAGAATTGTATTCATCGGGAATGATCTGTTGATATTGATATAGACCAGCAAATATTAACGCATACGGACTTGTCGATGCATAGGTAAAACCAAAAGACCTTCCAAGAAGAGAAACCCCCAATTCAAATAACGTCGATAATGCAGTCGAGGCAAACAAGAAAGCCTTGATGTAGATACATTAAAAATCAGTCAAAACGAGGTTTAAATTAAAGATGCGCGATGTCATGAATTTGACCATAAATAAACTCACAGCGTATTTAGCAGATCCAAATTGACGCTCTATTAAGCGTAAATGATACAGAATTATCCAACCACCAATCAACTCGCTTGTCCCAGAAAATCCACTGTATGAAGTCAGCAGTCTCAAAAACTAATCAGATGACAACGTCAATTCACTTGTGATTTATCACAAATCAAATCTCATAACCGAGCTCGAATACTAACCTCACTGTGATTAACAATTTGATGAATCGACTGCGAGACAGAATTGGATTTATTGGTTAGCATAATGGCAGCTATTGAGCAGCCACCAATGCCGAAAAACAATGCTTTTGTTATAGGTGCATTATAGAAACCTATTATGACCATTATCAGATAAATCAGTTCCTTGTTACTTAATATAAGATTGTATCAAATATGTGCACTCAAACAAGGAGCAAATTATAGCCAAAGCACATTAGCTCACCGGAAGCAGACATTGCGTTTTTTGGTCAACAAATTCAGTCAAAATAGAGAAGGGAAGCAGCCTTTTGTTATTTTCCCTACTGATCATTGTTGTACGAATAGTTTAATAGATAAAAAAGGATGCTGCGGCAACCCATAGCACGATGACAAATGCCCTTCCTTGCCAAATACGGAATATGATTTTCGTGTGTCCAAAAATGGGTCCAAGCAAATTTTCATATGATTAGAGTATGATCGAACACCTTATTAGGCCAGCATTACGACAACTTGTCACAAAGACACTTGACCCGTTCCCCTCCTTTTCTTGTGAAAAAATATAAGCTGGGCTTACTTAATATTTTACAGTCGCGTATGAATATCGAAGGACTTTTCATTGTTAGATAATACCAAAGAGAAAAAGAACCTTTCTTGGAAAAATTGAACTCGAATAACACGTAGTTATAACACGTACAGACACCTTTATAATGGTGTTGATTCAAGTAAGCTTTACATAGCAATTCCTGCTAATCAATATCACGTCAACGTTCTTTCCATTGATCGTCTATTCGTATAACAATTCCTTCATCCTTACCAAAGATAATATCGTTCTTCTTCTCACCAATTACCTCGCTTATCGAACCGTATGTAACAAAAATAAGTGATGCCCTCACTTCGGAGAAGACACAACGAGTCGCTGTAAAGTCGATATTCGTCGGCTTCTCTATTACACTCCTTTTGCTGTTTGCTTTCATAGCTTATATAGCATTTTACTGGACGTTTGTTCCTGAGATATCGCATGAATATGAGGTGTTTTTGAATTACAGGTATGTAAAAGCTGTAACTTGAGAGGAGGGAGGAACAAACAATTTTAATTAGGGTCGAGTGATTTTGTTATTTAAGGTTGGTATTGAATTCAAGATATATGTGCGTGAGTACGTATGTATTTACTCGTGACGGTTGGTTATATTTAGTGACGGACATCCAAAGGATGTAGTTAATATGACTCGGTATTATTCTGAACCAAAGGTAAATGAACCAGATTTATATTTTGACCAGATTACAAGTCTAACTAACTCGCTCTCTTTTTATGATTATAGTTTCTGACAGACCAGCAATTGTATGATGTTTCCGTCTTATTACACGTTCCTTTCTCTCAGAAAAATAAGGACCTTGGTATGTCAATATATACTTTTGGAGGGTGTTTTCTTGTCGTTATTGCCCCAATGTTAATCATTATACATGCAGGGAACTTTATGATTCACGTGGAATTGAAATCGCGTCTTGCCAATGATGAAACAGTTAGAGTTGCAGACAAACCAGTAAGCATACGTCATAATTGATGCGGATTGCATCCGGACGAGACATTCCGAACTAACCGCATACTATTTTCGCTCGAATAAGTGTATTCTCACTTATCAATCTCCCTTACTTCAAGTGTTTTCAACAGTTTGGCGACTGTTTCCGCTGTTAATGGGCTATTCAAAAGAGGATCAAACTCTTGTTGTAAAAATGATTGATAATGTTATTGAAGATAGCGTGAGTAAAGCCAATTGGTGCTATGCTTTTACTTTATATAATCTGTCAATGCAAAAAATTGTTCGCTTAACTATTTGAATTTGTAGAAACGACCCATCTCCCATGCATTGGTGGGAATATCGAATCCACTGTTGGAAACATACAAAGTTTTAATTCGTTTCGACGCTCACTTTTCTGGATTACGGTACGTCTCGTTCTTCATTATGCTAGGATTACCACCCACCGTCCTCGTTTTTAAACTAACTTGAGATTCTTTTCCAATCAATTATCAGTTACTTTATGTATTACCATCCAGTTTCAACAGCATTCAGTTTCATCCTGATCTTTCTGGTTGTCGAGCTCATCTTTTCGGTCTTTGCATGGCGTTCAATTGTATCTCGATGGCAAGCAGCCTCGCCACCGTTGGTGCCACCCGCAAGTTCTCCAGTTCTTAAGCCAGAATATCAAGACGGTCTTGGGACTAACGGTGAAGATGAGGGACTGGGCGAAGTATGGGAGGATATTGAAAGAACGGACAGCAGTAGTAGGAATAGTGTTAGCGGTCAAGAAGAAGGCACGGACGTCGATAGTGAAGCTGAGGTAAGTTTTGACAATATTAATAAGAAGAATTCTGGCATTTGATTTAAAGTTTCTCCGTCGGAGTTTGGATTATTTTCAGAATAAATGCCAGTCAATTAATTTTGCAACACACTCTGATTCCTTTTTTTTAAATAGCAACAGTATACGATGCAGGCAACTGCTCGCATACCCGAGTCGGGAGGCAGCACATATACAACAGAGTTCTATACTGATGATGACAGTCAAAGTGTCCAGTCGTCTGTCGTTGGTGATTTGACAGGACAACTGACCGACGATGATGTCGATGAGTTTGACGGTAGTGTCACTCCAACTACACACAGTCGAAGGAGTACCATTTCATCCACAGATAATGACACTGACCAGGATAGACCAGCGGTGGGAACGTCAACTGGAAGGTTGCCACTGACAACAGGATCGGTTTATACGAGAGTTCCTGGATCTGGTGTTGGTGATAGTGATAATTCAGCAAGAGATGGAGGAACGTGAACGGGAAAGAAATAAACGAGTTGGAAGTAATACGATTGGTTATATCATGACGTGATCTATGTTGCTTGGATCCGATTTGTACGGAAGAATTCCATTTTAAATAGTCTCATTTTCTTTTCACGCATTCTTAATTTTGCACGGACACATATATATATTTATAAGTAAATACACATAACAACTAAATGTCGGGACTACTGGCGATTACGCGTTTTTTTTTTTCCTAAGAAGCGATGGCTTATCTAGACGAGTTGTTTTATGAAAAGCATGTCTAAATATTTTGCCAATGATTTGACTACTTTCAAGTCAAACCGGTAATGACGATAATGATGAACAAATACAAGACAAAGATTTAAATATTGCAAATGACGTGGTCATACACCATTTTAAGTGTTTATTAACGACAGCATTGAAGATGTTTTTTTACAAATTTAAGGTTTTCAGAATGAATTTTCTTGAACAAATTTGTTAATCACCCAATGCTTCCGCCACGAACCGTCTTTGCCGTTACAACGCCTTTGGACGTCTTAAAAGGTATACCTTTATACACCGCTACACCTCCCTCGTCAAGAGTAAAGCTTTCGGCTACTTTTTCAAATATTTGCTGTTTTCGGTTAAATTCCTCTGCCCCTCTTTGTGCTTTTTCATATCCTTCCCACGTGATCGCTTCGCCAACAATGGAATCTGGTGGTATGTCTAACAATTCGATGACTGATCGATCTGCCGACGATGCTGCCAGCAGCATTGCAGACGATCTGATGCCCTGGAAATTACCTGCCTTAAGATTACAAACAGCAGCCACCAGACGACCTTGCATTTCTTCAATTGGAACATAGCTGGCGAGACCCGATACTACTGTGCGAGGCTCACCCGATTCATCACCTACGTCTACGGTAGATACGTAAGATTTTGGATTACCTGGATGAACTTTGGCTTCTAGTATCTTTGCGACGCGAATGTCTGTGACGTATAAACAATTGATAAGTCGTTAAGATAAATTCATGCCCTTTTCCTAACTCCCCGGTATAGTTCCTAATACTTAAATCTCTCAAAAGTTAATGAACTTTGAAATAAAGTTCGACTAAATAAAACAGTGACAGATGTTTCTTTTTTCCTTTCTTGCCCCATACCTAACCGAGATACGTCAACGGGTTTTTCAGCTTTAACAGCCTCTGGGGGCCTGTTATGTTTCTTGGATTCTTTCTTCTTTGTTACTTTTGTAGGAGATGGATAAGCCAAGTTGGTTAATTCTGGCAGTTTAGGATCATTTGCCCATTTTTGTCTAATTGGCTCCAATAAATTATTAATCGCTTCAATTGCTGCGGCTTTCAAATCACCAGGGTGGACCTTTTTGTCGCGAAAATCATCCTCTAATAGCTGGTATTCAGTGTAAGTAACATCTCCACCAAACTTCTCGGGACGTTTGATTATAAACTGAGGTTTGTTGTCACCGAGCGATCCTAGTGGAAACAGAACTGATTTGACGAAAGCGAGAATACCATTATCTTCAACATTGCCCTCTTCGCAAAAAGCCTTGTTTAGCTTACGCGCAACTGTTTTTTTATCATCAAGAAGATCAATCTTTGAGTCAACATCGGAAGAAGACATTTTTGATCCTTGGAGACCGGGCACCATTGGATTCATCAAATGAGCGCGTTTTTTATAACCGAGATTCGGCAGGCATTTCTCGGCAAACACAAAGATTTTTCGCTGATCGACACCACCAAATTGAGCATCGACTTGCAAGTATTCTTCATCCAGAGCTTGAAGTCCGGGATAGAGAAGACTGGATAGCAAGGGAGAGTCTACTTGTCTCACGACTTCTGCGCCAGCTTTTTTTGCATCATGTTCGGTTACGCTAGCAGCGAGCCTGTAAGTATCCATAGTATATTTCTCCGACAATTTCACACATTGCATCGCTAGTATTGGATC